CTAAATCACAGACAAAAATCAAGTGCCGGAGTCATTTTTTCACCCTCGTGTTCACACATTTATTATTTCAAATTTCCCCCTCTTGTTAATTAGATCCATCCCAACTTTATTGTACACATTATTTGAAACTGCAATATAGGTCATCATCATGTCATCGCACGCAAGGTATCTTATTATTAGAGAAGCATTGGAACAGCAACAAAACCTCTGTTGACCAATGATGAAAGAACAAAAAATATAAAACAATATATACCATTTTCTGCTGCTTAGCAAATATGATTCAAACACCATAGCTGATCACTGCTGAAAATATACTGCACCATAAATAAATGTAAAGTCATTGTACAAAAAAACTGAGACATTTTTCATACAAACAGGATACATTTGGAAGAATTACACAAAGATTTTCCTTATATTTTCCTTTTTAAAAAAGATTGCGTTTATGTTCTCAAATGTCCAAATACTAATGAAATGCAGAGTAATACAGAAAAGCAGGGGAATTACTATGGGCACCGATATATTTGACAAGTGCTGTTGGGGAAAGGAATAGAATTCAAGTGTATGTTTCATTTCAAATCGTTTCAAATTGTTTTCCATCTGAAATCATCAAAACCAAAATGAGAGCAACTTAACTGAGCTAGAGAGAATCAAAATGTACTGAAGAAATCACTGTTTTGTACTTTTCTTAGTTCAGAGGACTTATAATAATACATTTTTGTAAATTGCTAATTCCCATGAAGAATTACTACCAACCAAACTATATGTCGTATGTGGTCGGATAGTTTTAATGCACCAAAACTTTTGTGGTTGTTGAAAATTAAACTTGAAAGTTGCAAATTATTGAAAAAGAGGTAGTTAGGGCCTCTCAATCCCACTTTTTCTGTTATTTGCCTATTGAAAAATCATCTTTTCCTTCTCAATCATAAGAACAGGAAATACATGGTTTTATACTTAGATTAACATGAGCCCAACATCTGATAAGTGAAAACACCACCTGGTATAAAAAGTAGGTGCACATTTAAACTTCACAAACATGCTTTTGAAATTTGTGGGAATAAGCATTATCTGCAACCAAGATTTCCATTCCTATGCCTTGCATGAATTCTATACACAGGTGGACTTCACACTTCATCAAGGCAAACAATTGTGCTATATGTCTCTATGGGATTAGGCTTTGTGGAGTTACAGATAGCTTTCCATTGCCCTATCTTTATTATTATTTTTTGAGACAGAAATGGTGTCCTCATAAACGTCGGAGTACTATCTTAGCATATAGTTTGGGATGAATGATTTACATTTCACAATTTTGTAATGTATCTGACAGCAGGGGAAATTAGAATAGCATTCTACACAGCCCAATACAAACATGAGGCAAGTCATTTAGAGAACAAAATCTCAGAGAAAAAGTAGTCTCTAGCAGATGGATCAATATTGTACAGTATTATTTAAACAAAAACCTGAGTGAAATATATCTCAACTTACTTTGAGGTTCTCTAACACTCAGCGATGAGACATACAGACAATATTTAGGATTTCCCCACAAGTAGCATTGATTTTTTTTCTGGGAATGATTGAGAATTCTTTTGTAATAGTAATATAAAAGCAGAACCCAACAAACCTATTTCACATGATTGAAAATGCTTATTAGAATTACTGTTCTCTAGACACTTCTTCAGAAAACAAGATATAAAATATCATACCAATCCTACAACAGATACTTTGGGAGGATAATTTGTTTTGAACATAAATGGAAAATTTAGAACTGTGACATCCTGCTCTGAGGGGTAACTGCATTTTTATGTATTTATTATAATTAATGACTGTTGTAAGAAGAAGAATAAAAAAGAAAAGAACAAGGAGCAGAACACCTGCGTATTTCGTCAAGTGAATTCAAAATCAATTACAAGAATATGTTCATGTTTGGTTTAGTTTTTAAAGTTTGCTGTGTTTTTTTTAAGTTAATCAAGGCTTACTATGGTAGAAACAGTGATGTTAAGGAGTGCTGGCAGTATTGTACTTGCTTTCCATAAAAACCACAAAACACTTGAACTGTTCCAGCAGAAATTTAGGATTGAAAAGAGTAGAACATTTCCCTACTCTGAACTCTTGTTCACCATTGCTGTATGTGTCCAGAGTCTTAATTCTATGAGCATTTCATATTTCCATCAGTACAAGAGACCCCTATTTAACCACCACAAACCCATTGAATGAATGTTAAGGGTAAACCCAGTTTCAGCATCACACCTGAGATATTACACTAAATCAGACATTTGCACACAAAGTTTTCACACATGTTGACTTCAATTCAGCCTGGAATCTGGCGTGACAAGGTTTGAGCTCGTGTGAAAAGCAAACTATGTATGATTAGGTGAATATCTCCTTTGTATAAATAAGCAAACTGTATATCTGAATATCTGCTCTGATGCTCTTGGATAGGGGGCTTAGTGTTGCTGATATCATGGTTTTCTGTTGCATGAAAAAAGCTTGAAAAATATCTTACCACTTGAATGGCTGCCTTAGTAGTTATACATAGGAAACAGATATGATATGTGAAACAATATTCCATCAACTTCTTTTATGAAAAGACGTAAATCTTCAGTGGAAAGGAGGGATTTAAGAAAGGCCACATACTTAATACTAATAATGTTATGCTGCTGCTGTTGCTTAGGACATAATGTTCTTCCAAGATTGAAAATAGAGAACATTAAGCTATTTTTTTTTGTATATTTATCAAACAGAAAAAAGTTAGTAATTCTGGTTTAATAACACTTGTGATGAAGGGTAATTAAATATGCATTTACTGTATGATAAAGAAGAAAAAGCACAGATGAAAATTTCTAAAATCTAAATGATGGGGAAAAAAATCTTAGCTAGATTCCCCCTTTGGCTTCTTCCCATCAGGGGTGGGGCCAAAATTTTGGAGGGCTGCAAATTTGGCAAAATTAGTCTTGAACAAGATAAGATGAAAAGCCAATTGTTATGGAAGAGGCAGGAACTGTTGGGAAACATCCAACAGTGGAAAAGCCTGTCTTTATTTTCTGCAGACTAAAGAACAGGTAAAGACCTCTACCAACATCTCCTCTCTAAGAATTTCACAGATCATTACCTTAAAGTGGCACCAGCAACAAATTACCAAGATGTTCTAATGATTGAACCGCCATGAGATCAATAGAAGACAATTATTGTCTTGCATACTGTCATTCATTTACATAAAGGAGCTTTTTAATGCACTGTACCCTTGTAGTTCTCAACAAACAAGAAAAACTGTCCAAATCTTTAATATTTTTTACCCTTAATTTTGAAACTGTGAGCAACTTGTATTTTCTTTATAGAAAATTAATCTGAACAACTGAAATGTTAGAGAACTTCATTCTAAAATTCCTCTTTTTGCCTGCAGAATTACAGGAGAATTTGCTTGATGAATTTTATCAAGTCCCTAGGAGTATATCAAAAGAACTCAGAAATGAATTATTCTCTTAAGGTCTTAAGAGATCCTCCCTTTCCTTTCATGACCTGCTACATGGTCGGGTTTTGGTAATTAAACTAGTTCTGCTTGGGTAATTAGACTTGCTAAACTGGGTAGCTTTTATCCTCAGAATCTATTTTACTGTCATATTTAGAAACACAAAGATCTTCTCACCTGATAGGAAGAATTGTGACTAACTTAATAGTTCTGTTTCTTTCATCATTCTTGCCCGATCTTGTCTCTTTAAGGCGTACGTTCTCCTATACATATCTGTTATGGAATGCCTGACTTAATTTTTCCTGACTATGTGTCTCATTCAAATTACATGGATTTATCTCCTGGATGAAGAAAGTAAGAGGTCTATTATGAAGAAGAGCACATATGTGTTCTGAAATTATCCCTCCCCTTCATTCTATAAGCTTATTCATTTTTTAAATCAGCTATTGGAAATTCATATGTCACTGAAACCATACATATTAAAGAAAGGCAAGCTCTTGCTTAGAACAAAGATTTTGTTGCATGTATTCTTAAGAGCATTTCCTTTCAATTACTAAATATGGATCTATAATCTTGAATTACCATAGATTACCATTTTTCAGGAATACAGAAATATAACAATCTCATTCTTCGACTAAAAGCATTCCAAAGAGAAAAAGTTGCTCAACTCAAAATATGAACCCCATTTCCAATCAACCATCGAAAATGATGTGGGCTGCTAACTTCACTAAGGGCTGGAGGCCATTACAATGTTTATCACACATAGACAATGACTGTCTGTCATTCTAACAGTAAGAAACAAATATTAGCTCAGATGTATTCATGTCAAGAAAGAGATTGAAAAGAAAGCATCACTTTGTTTTCCCTTCTCCATAGCATGGTCAGCCAATGCAAAAACTGAGAAAATTTGTTAATATTCCACTGTAAACTTAATTCCAAATTTAGTTTAGCAAAGTAAATCTAGAAGGCGAGATAACAATTACAGCAAAAACCTGTTCATTCCAAGTAGACAATTCTATGCAATTCTAAAACACTAGGATGTTTTTTCTGTATCACCTGCAATGGGAGAAACTCATTATTTCAAAATGTTTAAGCGCTTATACCACAAAACTAAGTTATCAAGGAAAACTATTGTTTAGTGTGCACCAAGACTTGCAACATTTTGAAATGTGGGCTTCTTTACTGGAATCTTAAAAATAATGACCATTTAAAGACTGCAGATTTTTGTGCTTGATCAGATGATTATGGGTTGTCATGAAAATAAAAGAAACTTCAGGAGGAAACCACTTTCTGCTTCTTCTCACCACAGTTTCAACACTATAGGTAAAGCCAGCCAGAAAGATATAGAAGAACATGCATTCAAATGAGTCTTCTAGGAAATGCATCTTTGTGTACTGGATCCATCCATGTCTGCTTTGCTGCGGGACCTGTGTTTGCAGCTGTTTGGCTTCCAACAGCTGGAGTCCAACCACTTCTTTCTCACCAATATCCAATGGAAAGTCACAAATCTTCACACTGTATTTCCAAGGCTGAAAGCCTAACATGTTGTCGCCAAGGACTGATGGATGGGGGGTTGGAAGCAGCGCACATGCTCGACTGTTGAACTGTCTGTTTCCACCGATTTCATGTATTTGTTCAGGATGGCAAAAATCTCATTGTTCAGAATTTGGTACTTCCTGATCCTGTCAGCCATTTTCTTAAGTGGCTGGAGATTAAAACAAAAATGGAATAAGGAAACATGAACACCATCTCTACTATTTTTATAGCCACCCTGTTGTCAAAAGAATCAACAAAACTACTGGTTAAATATTTAGAATAGTTCTCTCCTACCTCTAAATGGAAAAAAAAATGTTTCAAACTCCCCTATTCCTAAGGCATCATAAATATAACATCTCTTTACATACTTCCACAAAGGAGCTAAAAGATAACTCATTTGCTTAAATTTTATTAAATGTATGTACAAGTGGAGCTATATTTGTTAAATTATTGACTTCCTTGAGTCCTTCTTTTCCTCTTTCTCCTTGCCTCACTACCATAGAGGCAAAAGTACACAATTGTTTGCTAATAAAGGTCAGCAGGCCCTGAATTTATTTTATGCATATACAAAGTATCCACATCAAACATCACTGTGTTCAGTTGGGAAGAGCTATTTACTGTTCCTTTATATAATTCTCCTACATAAAAATGCAAAATCCCCAAAATACAAGTTGTGCTAATCTGGTAGACAAATGTCTGAACTCTTTAGAATAAAAAATATAATTTCAGGAGAAATCCATGGCTTAGTGATATAGCAGATGCTTTGCACAAAGAATGTCAAAGGTTCAGAAATTTGGATCTTCCTGGCCAGAAAGTCATCTCGCTGAAACAGATTCAGTGCATGCAAAAGTTCTGAGGTTTGACAGCAAACTATTTTCAAGTTTCCACCTGGGATATGTAAAAAATCTATTTAAACTCTGGGGAACCACCAATGCTCCATGTATAGAGTGTGCAGTCAGCTAGTGGAACAAACCCTACACATGGCATCCAAGTCCTCTCAGACTTACCACATTCTTTATGATTTCATCCTTCCCATCCTGTCTCTGCACTTTTAAGAGATGATAGCAGAAGTCAAAAAGGTCAAAACGACGCTGTTGCCCCAGAAGAACTATGACTGAGCAGCCAGCCCAGTTCAAGCCATCTCCAAAGCACTGTCTAGAATAAAAAGGAATAGGGAAGACATTATTTGGAAATGATGGAAAGAGTTGGAAATCATCTTGCTTGATTCTATGAAGAAATAATATATTCTGAGAAGTTCATACAACAAAAAGACAGCCATATGGCCTTCATTCAGGACTAGCCTCAAAGATACGGAATCGAGTCACTAGCATAAATTTACATGTCATAAAATCTCAGCTCTTTGCAGAATGGATATAGCCTTCAACACAGGCCTACTCACTCAGCAGTGAATTCATTTGTTCCAACTGGAATGCAGTACACAAACTGCATGGCGCTCCAGAGCCGGTGAAATTCAACACATTCATCAACATGCATGACGCCATTGGTTGGGGGAGGCCCACGCCAGATGGGGTCTTGGAGGTAGCTCCGAATGCGGGTCAGGATAACTTCAAACATGGACAGCCCACAGCACAACCTCTCCTTGGTCAGCAAGTCTCCTTCACGGGCTATGGCTATTTGCTGATGAGAAAGGAAAGTTCTATTATGAGATACCAATTTCTCCCAGAATTCCCAGAGTGATCTCCCCACCCAGACCTCCAATAAAGTTTGGAACCTGTTCTTAAATCTGTTTAAAAAAGGGCTTAGTCTGCTTAGATTGAATTAAAATCTAGTAAATTTTGCCTGAGAACACTGAGCTGATTTGCTGTTTAGTTTAAGGAAATTGCTTTCTAATACGTATATCTTTGTGTATTTTCCCCAAATATTTATTACTTTACTGGTATTCTTCAAATGAAATGACATTTTGGAAAGAGCCAAAATTTGCTTCTCTATTAGGATTTTTTTAAAAAAAATAATTTTCTGCACAGGGTATTGTTCCTGCAAATTGAATTCCTGACAGTGAAATATATGTTTGCAATAATGTTTTCTTACTGTAGTGAATATTTAACTTCTATGAAGTATAATTTGCATAAGACCATGTATTTTAGATGTGCATTTATTATATATATTAACAGTATCTGCTTATTATACATTATTAATCCAGATCTGCATGCCTATGTGAATTTGCATTTCCTCTTTAGGATGATCTTACATATCTGATTACATGCTTAAATTTAATATTGATTATCTATAATGCAAAATTCATGTAAAACTTAAAATGTGGCAGATAATAAAGAGAGCCTAGAAAAAAAATGTCACTATTTTGATAATTTTTCATTGTGTATTTTAGTCATGATGATAAGAGAATAAGCATTTTTGAGATAATATAAGAACAATTATTTTTCTCTGCTTTGATCTGAAAAGTCAATTTTATAGAAAAAAAATTCTTCTCCCACCCAATTTTGTAGAATTCAGAAGTAGTGGTAAAATATAGTAAAAATAATTTTTTACAATATCAATAATTCAACATTTTTGGAACTCTAAAAAGTGTAAATCATTTGCATGCAGAAATGAATGAGGGCTATATATACCGTGTTTCCCCGAAAATAAGACCGGGTCTTATTTATTTATATATTTAATATAAAGAGGCACCAGGTCTTATTTTCGGAGGATGTCTTACTTACCTCCAGCACCAACAGCCTCGCCAAGCAGGTCCACTTCTTCTGGGGCTGAAGGAGCAGCTTCATTCTGCAGCTGCATTCCGGCCTGTATTTTGCAGTCGGAAGGCCACTGCAGCCAAGTACCAAGCTATAGATTCATCCATAGCTCGGTCTTTGGCTGCAGAGGTCTTGCAGAACTGAGCTATGGATTGAATCAATAGCTCAGTTCTTGGCTGCACAGGCCTTCTGGAAAGGCCTGTGACTGAGAAATGCAGGCCTGGCTGCAGAAGATGCCTCAGAAGAAGTGGACCAAGGAGGAGAGGCCTGGATGCAAGGTAAGTGGGTGTGGGGCAGGTGGGGCAGATCCACACCCCCACCCCAGCTTGATTTTTAGGTATTTGCCTCACCCCCAAACTAAGGCTTATTTTTAGGGTAGGGCTTATATTAGACCCACCCCCCAAAATCAAGCTAGGGCTTATTTTTGGGGTAAGCCAGTGGTGGGATTCAGCCGGTTCGCAGTACTTTGGCAGAACCAGTAGCTAATTTTGTGTTGCCCAGGTCCAGAATGGACTTCCAGAAGCAGCGTCCACACAGAGAACCGGTTGTTCACATATTTAAATCCCACCACTGGGGTAGGCCTTATGTTCGGGGAAACATGGGTACTATTGCCTGGAGAATGGCAGTTGTCAATTTTCTACGCTTTCATTTGAAAGAGCAGCACAATGAAAATACAGATATGCAGCATAGAAATGAGAGGCAGGATGGCAGAATGAAATGGATTAGCAAAGTGAACCACTAAAGGTACTTCAGCCATCACATAGCTAGGCCATTTCAGTCCTTTGATAATGCAGTTGTGACCACAAGAGAGCACAGCTGGATGGACTTTATCTATTTGCTTCACAAAAATGCTAAGGCACCTTCATTAATACATGTTGAGTTACTTCTGTACTGTTTATCTTTTATGTTCAAAAAAATTCCTATTAAGGTAGGAGTTACCCATTACTTCTAGTTGAAATCTAAAGTAAAACATCTAATATGCGTATTGATAGTAATGGATCAATCCATTTTTAAACCATTAGGCACTGAAAGCTAAAAGATGGTATAGAAAACTATGAATATAGATGCACTTTACCAAGGAGTAAATCAATATATGCAAATCAGCCCATATTGGGAATCCCTGAAAATAATTCCCAGTCTATATTTCTGCTACTTCTTTTGCATGTTGAAGATTCTTATATTGAAATCTTACACTGATTTTCTCTCAGGAAATTTCCCAGTAAGCTCAGTGGGAATTATACTAACTTAAGTATTTCAGTCTCTTCTTTTCTGCTCCAAGTCTTTTCTAATAATTTTAATGCAGATTATATTCATTTAGTATCAATAGCAACACAATGTTTCTCAATAGTTCCAAAGAGTGATTAGCAAAATCTAAGGCCATATTTGTTTCACGTAGCAAACCTGAGATTAGATGTTCTGCTGTTATCTAATCTATTGAGTCCCTTTCAATGGTGTGGTGTATAAAATAAATAAATAAATAAATAAATAAATAAATAAATAATTAGAGTTATAAGAACATTCCAAAGGGAAAAATTAACTTTAGAAAAAATGCAAAGAGATGCAAATCAAATTATTGTATGTAAAATGTATATATTCTATATCTGAGACCTTTCCTAAAATTAACAATACAATTAAAGAAAAATATGTTATTGTTTTCTTGAGACTAATATGACATATCCTTTAGAACTACATTGTTTCACCCCTATTCCTCTGGGGGTTTCCATAAAAAAATGCTGAGGTATACATGGTTCTCAATTGGGCATACAGTATGCTTGAATATTAAGGAATGCTTATCTGCACTTCAGAGGAAGGGTATGATGTGACACAACTCAAATGGAGATATTAATCTAGGAATAGAAGGAGCTGGGTGGTGAAAAACTCAGTGGGATCCCATGGAAATATGGATAGCTTCCCCACAGACATTATTATCTGTGTAACTCAGAAGCAAACAATCTAAGAACAAGAAGGCCCAAGGCTTGCTGTGTTAGGAACAATCAGCTGACATCACCATCAACACATCTCCCTCTGTACTGGTTTATATTTTTATCATCTCTAAAAGTACCACTTTCATGCTGGATGTGAGACAGCTGACAGTGCAATATGTATTTGTGAACTGGGAACTTCCTATAGAAATCAATTCTACCTGATCTTTCTAACTGGGTTTGTTTGGTGGTGAGAATTACTGTGATAGATATATATGTGAACTGATTGTAATGAAAGGATAAATAATGGCCTGAAAGGAAAAAAAATGTACAACGATTTAGTTCTTTAAGAAAATATTACAGATATATCTATCAGCACAACTTGAGTCAAACTGTATTAGTTTGTTCAAGCTGTTTGGCCATAAAATGATATTCAGGTAAAAACAACAGATTGCACAATATTCTATTATGTTTTTAATGTTGGGTTATTCAATGTCTCAAAATATTCTTACTATTTATACTAAGATGGAAACATTTCAAGTCAATAGTGGTAAATGATTTGGGAGTATCTGATGATATATTAAGATTTTGACTAGTGACTAGAGGTGTCTATGTATGTGCACATGCACTTTCAAGTCAGTTTTTGACTTCTGTCAACTGCCTGGACAAGTTCCAGCAGTTTTGGTAACCCTGAGTTATTTGAAAAATGAGTAAGGTGTATTAGGAAATTAGCAAATATTAAATTCCAACATTCAATCAGTAGAATTTATGTTTGACTTGACTTTCCAAATAGAATAGCTGATCCAATTTGAATAATTGTATTACAGGTATCCAAACAGATTTAACTTCAGCCATGAACTTTTGTGTTTTTACAGTATTAATCAATCTGAACTGATTCAGTTGAATTTAAATCACCAGGAGCAATCTGTACATCCACAGAATGTATAAGAAGACTGAACAAATTGTATCTTTAAGGTGTAGTGTAAAATCAAGGATGATAATTGGATGAGGAATATTTCTAATTGGAATCTGCTGTGGGGTTTGTTGCTGTTAACTGTTAGCAGTTCATGGAGCTTCAGATTAGTTATGAAGATTTTAAAAAGGGTTCAAAGGCTGAGCAAGTTACCTCACTTGATATGGGACTCTGATGAAGTTTTTAATTTTTTTTAGAAGAAATTCTAATTTTGGATTTCCCACCATGTCACATTTAGGTTGACTCTAAATTAAATGTTTAATTAAATGTTCTTGTGTGCCACAGACTGCAGTTAATAGAGGCTTACAAATCTCTCAGTGAAATCAACAGGAGCAATGGAAGTCATTCATTTCATCTGGATTGCTGTTCTGAGACAACTGATCAACTGAGACTTGGTTATATGGAAGTCAGACAAAGAGCAAAGCACTGCATACAGAGAAGCCCCCAAGCACAGGCTGTCTTCCTCCATCTTGTAGTGACAGCAACTACCAGCATGATATCTGAGGATTCCGAGTTGCTGTCTTACACATTTGGAGGCGGCTAGGTTGGAACAGGCAAACACAAACTTCCTTGTATTTCTTTATTTAGTCCTCCACAAGGATCAGTTCAAAATGAGCCCATGAAATGAATTTATATTTAAATTTTGTGATCCAGAACAAACATTGGAATACTGGGAGTCATAAGACAGACACATAGCCTGTACTATACTGGTATTGTGTCTTTTTTAAATTAAGTGTCAACATCTCAGTGGTTTTAAAGGTCGTAATCATAAAAGGAAAAAAACAGTAGTATAGCTGATAGCTTTAAGACCAAGTCCTCTAAAAAGAACAACAAACAAAGAGCAGGTGTGTAGCAAAAAAAGGGCTGTGCCAAGCACAAAGATTAAATAACTCATGCAAGTGAGCCAAGCCACAGAATATAAAAGCAGGGAGAAAACCCAACATTTCTGGAATTGCAACCAGTCCAGACTGGCTATTTTAAATATGTATTCAAAAATGTAGAATGGCCCTGTATGCCTGTGTATGTGTGCTTGAAAGGGAGACAAGTAATCAAATGTCAAAATGTGTTGTCATCAGAATGCCAGGATTGATTGCAGATTCTTGTGAATGGTACACTAAGAAAATGTCTTGATATAGAAGCACGTCCCACTCTTCACCTTTTCCTTCTCCTGATAGTTGGGATGAAGATTTAACCTCAAACAGGATTCAATGGCTATGTTTTGGGGTACATATGGACCAATGACAGTGGTTTAAAAGTTTCATTAAACACATACTTAAACAATCTAATAAAATTTGTAGAATGCTTAACGTCACATTTGTAATGACAATCAATAAGTGGTAAAACATGAACTGTCATGTCTCTCTTTGGCTGCAAAAAGGAAGGAGATAAGAGCAGGGGATGAGAAGGCAAATTGAAAAGTCTACTTGGGTTTGCGTAGTACAGTGGTTCTCAACCTGTGGGTCGGGACCCCATTTGGGGTCGATCGACCATTTCATGGGGGTCGCCAAGCAAGGCTGTCTGCCATTTTTTTTGTCCGCCATTTTTCCCCCCTTTTCCGGCGGGTGCCTTACCTCCCTTGGGCTGGGCCAGCTGGTGGTCGGCCTGCTCCGTCTCTGCCGCTTGCCAGCTACGCCTCGGCCGGCACAGGGGGCGGAACCATGCATGCGCGGCGCTCCCGGGCAGGGAAAGTCCTCGACTTACGACCGGTTGGGTAGTCATCGACTTACGACCGGTTGGGGTCGCGGCATTAAAAAGGTTGAGAACCACTGGCGTAGTACCAAATCTTCTGAAATGCTATGTTCACCCATCTCAGTGCTGAAGCTCACAAGGCAGAATATGGCTATCTCCATTTTTTATTACAGAGACATTCTATCTCCAACACTGAAGCTTGGGTCAAGAACGGGGAACAGTCTGTAACAGTCTGTTAGTTCAAAAAGGTCAGATAGAAAAATCTAGGATTTATACTCCATGGTAATATAGATGCATACGAACCCTGTGATCTGCACTAAGTAGGTCTGATTATATAGGATTTCTCTCTGAAAAAAATTGGAGCCGGGGGTGTAGGATAAAGTAGGAGTCCATGACTACTTTGAAACGTCAGGGTCCACTTACAGAAACAAGAAATGTCTTGCCTGACATTCATGTGAACAACAACAAAAACCAACAACAAATAATTCCAATTCAGGCCAATAATGACAAACTGTCTCTGAGGCAGATGGTGATTATGGGGGACACAACTACATAAGAACCACATTGAATTTCACTAATTTTGTTCGGTCACAAGTGATATTTCTACAAATATTCTGGGATGTACAGTTGAAATCCAGGCAACAAAACCAGAAAGGCATCCTGAGATCCAGGGCAGTCAAGGGATGGGGGATGGGGGAGAGAGAATCAGGGCTGGGTGACGTATTGTGGCACCCAGTCAATATGGGTTTCAATGTCATCCTTACCTGAGGAGTTCCCAGCCTCTCTATTAAGGGAACCAGGTGAAGTGGGGCATATTTGGCTTCGAGACGCTTCATGCGTACCTCCAAGCGTTCTCCTTCTGTTAAGCGAGCAGCAAACAGTGAAATGAGAAAGCAAAAAGAAAAAAAAACTAGCATTTCAGAGTCATCTCCCAACCATTATCCAACTCTGGGACAAGTATGACATAAAATCGTGGAAATGAATTGTGAAGACGGGTCTCTATTTATAACTGACACCAAATACACTTGTAAGAGGGTCTTGTTTTTAACACAAACATCTTGCTTTGTTTACAGGGTGCCCTTTCTTGTGGATTGGCCAGGAGGACCCCTAGTCCAATGAAGGCAATGAACAGCTAACTACATCTAAGATTTTTTGAAAGCTGAAGTATGTGTAACTTCGTAGCTACTACCCAGCTAGGGAATAATGACTGATATCTGTGCATCTCTCCACTTCTTACCTTTGATGTAGACCCTGGGCAAAATATTTTGGAAGGGAGCAGCATGCAGCAAATCACACACTTCTTCCTGGGACTGAGGCAGGAGGAAGAAAAATAAAAGGTGTTAAAAACTACCTAAGAATTGACTGTTTAGCTGTCAACCAAACTGGGAAGGGCATAGTGATCAGAAGGCTATTTAATTCTAGCTCAATATCCAGGACAACAGACACATAACTTGTGTCAAAAGTAAGTTTATAATAAAGATAATCTTGTTTTAAAAATTGTAGCTTCTGCTTTGTTACTTCTTCTGATTCAGCGGTAGGATTTCTTGATCCCTGCTGCTGAATGATGTACTCTCCATAAAACTGTAATAAGGGCTGCTGATAATTAACCAAGCTCCTCCTCCTTTGTGTAATCTGAAGTTGTCAGGCACTGCCAAGGACCATGAGGGTCTGTGTTGGATGTATCTTGAGGTGGTTACATTATTCCACATAGGTGTATTCACATATAGGTTGCTCACAGACATATTTAATTGATTTGTCCACTCACAATTGCTTTTTTAAAATCAGTCTTAAGAATTCTCTGGGTGATTTGTTTAAATATGAACTATAAAGACACCCTGAAAATTTCATCCTATTTCAGTGACAAAACATGTAGTATGTCTTGCACTAACAGAAAAAACTCCAGAATATACCAGACTTTCAGGTTTTCTACTAGGCCGCGACTTTAATTATGATTGAACATCTGTACCTGGTACTGAGCATCCCCATTACAAAAACTTACAGTGTGTAAGTCACAGTGTATTACATTATGGGATAGAAACTAGTTGCATTTAAGCCACTATGTTCAAGCAATAAGCCGGAACCTAGGTTTATGAGGAAATGTGCTTACATTATACTGTAACCTATTTTGATAAGACTTTACCTTGAAAAGTAGTATGACAATATTATAAATTAAATTTATATAGTAGGGTTGTTAACTTGTCTTTTAAAGAAAAAAAATGAAAATCTGGTCATTTTTGGCTATGTTAATTATAAGTGTGCATCAACAAAGATTCAACATTTGGTAAACTGAAAAAAAAACCAAGATGGAAAGTAGCAAGGTAACTTTTTCACAGAGCCTTCCTTGGCCACTGATGGTAGTGGGACAATGATCGGTCTGATAGACGTACAGTCTGAGTTTGGAGGTTAGAAAGGCTGATCTAACATCTGGGCACAGAGTATTTGGAATAATGTTGCAAACCATTTTGTAACTTCTAATCAAGTTGTTAGCAGCCTATGGGCCCTGTGATTACAGGAAAATGCCTAAAAATATAAAAAAGAGGGTCTGAGAATTCTGGTACCGCCCACTCTGATGTACTCATAAAATGACTCCTTGGCATCACTCAACAGAGTCTGACTTCCTGAGGTATCTTCTTTTTTTTAATCAACTTCATTTGGAATCAAATGGTAGTAAATAAGAGATCCAAACTACAGGAAGAAGAATATGAACCAGACTGGGTGCCAAAGTTGATTCAACACAAGATCTTCTATGTTGGGCTTCTTTGTTGTTGCTGTGTTTTTCATCTGAAAGCAGCCACAAGAGCTGCATGACATTTGGTTCAAGACTGTACTTACAGGGAAGGAAGACTTATCTGTTCCTTACAAGTCAAATGGGCAAAAATACAGGATGGCACAGAGGAAGGATCAACCTCCTGCTCATACAGACATAGGCCAGATTCAAATCTTTAGGAACTGCTCTTACTTTTAAAAACATGGGAGATCTTGATTGGCCTTCAGGCTCTAAGTATACAGTGGATAATACAGCTGTTCTATCCATCTATATATATTCAAACCTAAGTTTCATTAATTCGCTGCACGTTTCTTGGTATGGACCACTCTAAAAAGCGACTCTGTGATGTAAGTTGTCTATTTTCCTGGGAATAAAGCCCCACTGATTTCAGGTCAAACTTATTTCCAAGTAGCCATACTTAGAACTGAGCTGGAAGAGGCTGAGAGAGGAACCACAAAATGAGAAGAAATTTAAAAACACATACAGAGATCCAGAGTTAATCTAAACTGCAGACACACAAAGAGGCAAGACCTCGGAAGCAGGAATGTTGGTGGAGACTTGAGTAATGATTGCAGCAAATTCTGCATGACTCTACATGGCGGTATAGCAACAAAGTAAGCCATGATAGCTGCATGCAAGAAGCAAGACACTGCAAAAGGAGGCGGTTTTGATACACCCTTGTGTGAAGACGCATTTGGAACGTTGTGATCAATTCTCCAATTCCCAGCCACACTTTATATAGACCAAAACATGAGCACCGGTCCCTTATTCAAGCCTCAGTGATTTACAGAATGTAATTTTATGTACATTTTTTGTAGAGGAGTCTTAAGGAGTTGTTGCCTTAACTTTTACTGCAATATTTTATGGTAAGTAATGCATCATATAATTACATATCACTGTTTCCTATTTTATAAAAAAGGCCACATCAGAACTGGGATGTTCAACTTCATTCTTTGGAAGTCCAACACAGAGGGAAGGTTTTATCTGCTTGATGCAGCACCCTGTTATTAGCAGGGCCTCAATGAAGAAACATTCATAAGTGATACAATGTACTCAGTAAAATAAATTCTGCATGCAGGGTGCCTAGCTTTGTGATCATAAAAAAACCCAAAGAAATTATTTTAAATGCCACCTTCTTCATTTAAGAACTGAAAACTGTCAGGGAAATTAGATAATTTAGTTATGGATACAAGAAATATGGTTTCTTTCTTCCAGACCAGAGGATTATTCTTGGCATATGATTCAGAATGCTTACCTCCATTCCACCTTTGGCAATCTGCAAATTATTGGCACTACAGTATTGTCACAATAAACAATGTGCTATTATTAAGCAATTCAAAAAACAACATGTCCAATAAAAGGGAGAACCTATTCTGAGCTTTCAAGTATAGTTTTAATGCTATGCAAATTAGAAGGATTGTCCCAGCAACAAGAAGAATAGGCATGACCTCTTGAAATCATATCTTTAAAATTGGTAAATATGTTTTTCATCTTAATGGAAGAAGGGAAATATCAGAGAGTTATAAACTGGTACAGGGTAAGCAACCTGTGGCACTCCAGAACTTGCCGAACTACAACTCAGAACATCTCTAAGCTATATAGCAAATTCCTTCATTGGTTATTAAGATACATATTCTGACAAAATATACATCAGTTTTTTTTAATTTGGAGCTGGATGCTATCCCAGGTATGTGGGAAGCAATATTGGGTGCTAACTTGATGAGTCAAGTTGTCTTTGCAGATATTAAGAGCAATTTTATGCAAAATTAACAAGATGCACTACAACCATCACTGCTACACCTCAACTGGGACTGATAGGTAAGGGCTCACTGCACATTTAAAAAATGAAGCACAAACATCATGTTATCAAGGTGCACATGTTATTATTTTGATACTATTGTGGTTGGTTAGAGATGCAGTTGATCACAATCTGCAATGAAGCCTGAAGGCAACTGTGGTTTTTTTGCAATAAGAAATGGAAAAGTAAGTAAATAAATAAAATCAGCTCATCGGAATTGTCTTTAGGTACTCAGAGTGCATTAATATGGACAAGCACTTTTGCTTTTGTGTTTGTCTCTGTACTTCATTCTGCCAGGCTTTAGCAAGCCGCTGAAGAGAACTGTGACAAGTAATAGCAAGCTCTAGCATCCTTTTCAATCCGGGACCTTTCTGGCTGTGTGGGCTTCAGCTCACTGAATATCCCAAGCAACATGGCCATTGCTATTGTAAATTCTGGGATTTGACATCCACATATCTGCATGGCATCCAGGTTGAAGAAGGCCGCTGTGCAGGACTGGGAATGTAGGAGTTCCTGAACTAAGAAGTTCTATACTGACATCTAATTGAATACAGACTCGTTTGTTTTTTCCTTTGTTTCACATACAATGATTTAAGCCCAATTATTTTCCCCAATAATTCATTTTAACTCACCAAGGCCTGTTCTATGAGAAGGCAGAAAAGAATGGCATTACCCACTTCCCTCAGACTTTGAAATACATCAGTCTTTAGTTCTGCATATTCAATTATGTCCTTCAGCTGGTGATGGAAAAACTCCAGGATTCCTGGGGAAAAGCAAGATATAAATAGAACTACAAAGTAGCTGACCCAAAGGTGCTTTTTCAAAAGGCAACTGGGCTTCCTCAGTTTTTTCTTGAAAACGTTTCATTTCTCATCCAAGAAGCTTCTTCAGTTCTAACTGAATGGTGGGGAATGAAAGGATTTATATTTTTTGCAGTCACCTGCTTATTAGCACTCTGAAGGGTGGTCATTTGCTCTCTGAGAGCCGTTGAGGCCACCTGGGGACTTATCCAGGCCCACCTCATAGGACCTGCCAGGCCTAAGTTCCTAGCAGAACGATCTGAATCATGCTCTCTCTGAAGCATATCAAATGCAATGGGCAGATGTAACTGGGAAGAGGTGGGGCCTGAGATTTTGTTAATGGGTAATACAATTAAAACAATGTGGGTGAGTAAAATAAATACATTTAACAGAGACAAGTAGAAAACTCTTCACTAAGAAACCAGCGCACAAGTACAGGATGGGGATTCTTAGCTTGGTAACAGTATTTGTAAAAAAGATCTTGTAATAGCAGCTGATTGCAAACAGCTGTAAAAAAAAGCAAAGGCAATTTTTAGACCGCATCAAAAGAAAAAAAATATATTTTCCAAATCATGGAAAGTAACTGTTCCACTTTCTTCTGCTTTGATTGGATTCCATTTTAAATACTGTATCCCGTTCTAAGAATCATATTTTAAGGATTCAGAATAACTGGAATGGGTTTACAGTAGCACATAGAAGACAATCGCGGGACTGGAAACTAAGTCCTAAGAAAAGAAACTGTAGGAGCTGTGAAAATTTAACCTTGACAAAGAATTGGAGTGGATAAACTACCGTATTTCCTCAAAAATAAGACATACCACAAAAATAGCTTGATTTTGGGGGGTTGGCCTAATATAAGACCCACCCCCAAAATAAGCCCTAGTTTTGGGGTGAGGCTCACACCTAAAAATCAAGCTGGAGTGCGGGTGGAGCTACCCCACACACTCCGCACCCGCTTATCATTGCAGCCAGGCCTCTCATGCTCAGTCAGCTGCCTCACCTCATTGGCCCATTTCTTCTGTGGCCACTTGCCGCTGCTCGTGCACATTGCCTCCAGCCTCCATTTTGCTGTCACAGGCCTTCAGGAAAGGCCTCTGCAGCTGAGAACTGAGCTCCGGATTGATGTGCGCCGGGAAGGGGGCACCACACGCATCAATCCAGAGTTCAGTTCTCGGCTGCAGAAGCTTTTCCTGAAATTAAAATGGAAGCAGCAGCGATTGGCCACAGAAGAAGTGGGCCGGCTGGGCGGGGCTGTCGGTGCTGCTGCAAGGTGAGACCATGGAAAAGATACCCCCCCCCCAAATAAGACCTGGTGCCTCTTTTGGAGGGGGAAAAAAATAAGACCGGGTCTTATTTTCAAATATTTGAAAGGATAACATATTGCAGAATTTCAAAAATGTCATTCTGTTGTTCAGGAAGCATAGTAGTTTAATTTCCACAAAAACTGAATCTGATTTAATGTTAGAAAAAAATCCTGATAGGAAGTTTGTCAGTGGAAATAACAGCCCAGATAAGTTATTGGCATATCTGGGATGCCTTAATTTGGATTCTTGCACTGGGCTCAACTCTACCTTTCTACAGTGATTCTTACACAGTAACTAGGTTGTTTTTACAATTCTCAGTTAGTTGCTAAATTAAACCTGGAATGTTAATTTTTAGAATATATTTCTTCACGTCTAAAGCACAAATTGAGACCAGAGAAAATTGCTGCAGACATGTACAGTAGATAAAATGAAATGGGTAGTACAATGAAAACTTTAAAATAGTATAATTCAAAATAAGTTATGCTGATGATTTTAGGCAAAGAACAGGAATACCCAAAAGTGATAAACAAATAAGAATTAACAGAATAACAGAGTTGGAAGGGACTTTGGGGGTCTTCTAGTCCAACCCCCTGCTTAAGCAGGAAACCCAATACCATTTCAGACAAATGGTTGTCCAATCTCTTATTAAAAACCTCCAGTGTTGAAGCACCACAACTTCTGGACGCAAGCCATTCCACCGATTAATTATTCTGTCAGGAAATTTCTCCAGATTTACTAATTTCACAGTACTGACCTGGAGATCCATACTCATGCCTTGGCAGGCGGCAAATCTTCGGCATCACCTCTATCAAGGTCTTCACATACTGAAGGATGGTTCCTTGCAACTATCAGAAGCAATTGGAGATGAATGTCAGCTCTGGGAAGTAGACTCAACATTCAAAGCAGCTTCAGTTTTATAAAGTGGCCTGCAGCTGCAAATCTTAACTCTCTTCAGCCAATTTATGTAGTTGCCAGTAATCTTGATCCAGTTCAGAGAAGAAGGAAGCCTCAAATATAATGGCTTATTAAACAAAAGTAAACAGATATAGCAATGCCAGATACTTCTTCTGAGTTCAAAAGTTTGTAGGAAGAAGCTGAGGCTTCAGAAGTTCCAAAACCCAAAGGGAAACATTTGCCAAATAAAAACAGATAATCGAAATTGGCAACTGGATGAGCAGTTTTCTGGTCTCTGGAAGCTCCTTATTGTGTTTTTGAACTGGGATCCAAACAAGTACTATATTCTTGTTGTGAACTGTTTCAGAGTATTTATATTCAGACCCATAACAGAGATCACTTTTAAGTGGGCTACAATATATTAAATATATCCAAATAGCTGTTTAAAAATATTTTTCTTTGAAAACGAATCCCTATCCCTATCACAAATGTTTGCAACCCAAAATCTATTTTTTAAAAAAATGAATGCCTGCTAGGAGAGGAGTGGGTGGGACTGATGCATTCTGTTTAGGGAAATAAAAATAGTAAGAGTAAGAAAAATAGAATAAGAAAAATAAGAAAACAATTTTAAAAGTTGACACTAACGCTAACCCTACTTAAAAAACCCAAGCAGACTTATTATATCGTTATATTTCAGTGCAAAAAGAATTTTTTCTTTTTTCCTTTTGCTACAAAGAAATCACTATATCTTAATGATGGGGAAATTATGTGTGCTGATCTGATAAATTTGATATACGGGTTTCTGAACACAGGTTTACCATATCGTGGGATCTCTCAGAATAATTACAGAATTATAGCAGAAGTTTGCAACCTTGGGCCTTAACATCTTGAGGCTATATTCAATGACACATGAATCAACTTCTATTCACACAACATGAGTTTTCATTTTCTCTTTCCCAGATCCACTTGCGGTTCCCCTCAAATCTTTGCCAGAACACCAGTCAAGTTTCTGGAGCAGATTTTGGGGAACCACAAGGAACTTTAGGAGGAAGAAGAGAAGGAGAAGGAAGATGAAACCAGTGGGTTTATTTATCCCCATTACCAGGCTTTTGACAATCTTCAACAATTCTTCCATCACAACAGCAATCCCTTGGTATCCAAGAAGTCGGCAGATTGTCTTGAAGTGGGGGGGTCCCACAAAGTTTCGGTAAGAGCTATAAATGTGGCTGTATGCAATGTTGAGCGGCTGAGAATAAGAGAAGCAAAACATTTATTTAATAAGACAACTAACATATTGTAATTAGAGTTAAGGACTATACGTTGATAATCACCAGGCAATGACTGATATTTTATTCTTTTCCCCCACCTCTTCACATCCAAACAATTTGGCTCAGATTCTTTTTCTCTTTTAGGAACGGCATTTCAAACAGCTACTAAACAATAATGCATTAATTCATAAGCTTTATTTAAAGATAATCTAAAGACATGAAAAGGGAATTTAGCAATACAGGATCGAAGCTGTAATATTAGCCCTGCAGTCTGAGCTTGGTTGATACTGCTATACTATTTTCTGATGCCAAAAGAAAAGTTTAGTCCATTTTAGAAAGTTGCTTCTGTCTCTAACAGTGGGAGCTGCTCCTAAAAACAGCATGAAAGTTTTGATGCACAATGTCTTGTAATGTCTGTTTACAAATGCAATGGAGTCCAAAACTTTTATTGCTAAGCCATGTGAGTTTAAGTGAGTTTTGCTCCACTTATGACCTTTTCTTGCCAAAGTTGTTAAGTGAATTACTGCAGTTAGTAACAGTGTTGTTATGTGAATCTGGCTTTCCTATTAACTTTGCTTGTCAGAGGTCACAAAAGATGATTGCAGGGCCTCCGTCATTATTCATGCATGCCAGTTGCCAAGCATCCAAATTTTGGTCATGTGACCATGAGAATGCTGGAATAATCGTAGGTATGAAAACTGGTCATAAGTCATTTTTTTCAGTGATGCTGTAACTTTGAAAGGTCACTAAATGGATGGTTGTAAGTTGAGGACTACCTGTATATAACATCTTGGGCTTACGTACTGGGTAACCACTGATATCAGTGAAATATACCGGGGGGGGGGGGCGGGGAACATCTGTCCTCTTAAAACTCCAGAAATGCTCTGATACATAAATAGTGAGTTACAGATATGCACTAGCTTCCTTGTTCACAGTTATTATCTGATACCCAATGCTGCACTGTTTCAGATGGTGTAATGTGGAAAATTTAAACTCCTTTATTTTGAAGTGGTCAAAAATTAGGATTGCCTACTATTGATTATTCCTGCCAAGTATTCCATAAAATTAGGAGCACAGGAATTTTCAAATTCCCCTATCAGCTGTATGGAGATATAGAAATAGCAAATTTTTGACTCACCTTTGAGCCATAAAGATAATACGGCTGAACATTGGCAGGTTTATCTCTCTGGGGTTCTTGAGTGAATGGAATTGCTGTCCGCACAAATCTAATATTTGTAAAAAGAGACAAAAAAAGTGTGCGTGAAACTGGAGGAGGAGGAGGGCTGTATTAGTCATCCCAAGCCACTATTAACACAAAATATCTATGTTTCAATTAAACATTGCTTCCTAATTTAACACTACTTATTTTAGATGTATCTTCCAGTAAGACATCTAACACTTTTACATCCATACTAGTCAGTTACATGAAATTCATTATATAATGCAACCTGGTTTAGACTATGGAATAGAAAGGAGCCATTTAGGCTACAGAATCCAAACACCTACTCAGTGCAATAATTAAAAATTAAATTATCCTAGACTAATTATTGTGCAGCTTCTACTTGAAGACATCTGGTGAAAACCACTGTCCCTCTGGGCAATTAGTTGCACTGTACAACTAAGTCTTCTTGTTAAGAAATGTATTCTAGCTTTTGGGAAGAGCAGTAAACATAGAGATGCAAAACTATTGCAGTTATTTATCCCTAGCAGCTTAATGTCTATGAGATTCTCAGTCATCCAGGTCATAGTTATCCCATGATGGGGAATGGAAGGATTTATACTCCTTGCAGACAGCTGGTCATTTGCATTCTTTTAAAGAGTAGTTGAAGCCATTTGGAGGTTTACCTGTGTCTCAAGGTCAACTGCTGAAAGGACTGTGTTGAAGTCATCATCTATCTCCAGTCTACAACACAGTCCTTTCAACAGTTCCAAGAAAGCTTCACACCCATTTGCACTACTTAAATGACCTGAGGACACAGATAAACCTCCAAGTGACTTCAATGATTCTCTAAAAGAATGCAAATGACCAGCTGTCTTCAAGAAGTATAAATCCTTCCATTCCCTACCATCCAGTCAGAGCTGACAAAGCTTCTTAGATGAGAAGCAAAACATCTCCCCCCCCCCCAAAAAAGGAAGTCCAGTTGGCTCATGAAAAGCACCTTTGGGACTCTAGCAGCTTAGTGATTTATCTCTAGTCTTTAGTGAGGGGACCAAAACATATTATTTTGACATTTCATTTGTACCTGTTAGTAGACCCATTGTAGCAGTAATTAGGTAGAAAATCAAAGTTTAGCTCCCAGAAGACATGCAGCGTGATGCGCCCATAAGGAGCGGACACATTATGATTGGCCTCGCGGAACATGGCATCAAAACTGTCCAGAGTCATGTGGTTGCACAAGAGTCTGTGTGTCAAACGATTGATCTCCAAAAGCCATTCAAGTTCCTGCATTGAAAAAAAAATCTGCTTTATCAGGATAAAAACTGAAATCCCTTATATACAATGTTTATTTACCCCATATTATTAGATTAAATCAAATATTAACAAATATATACAGGTAGTCTCTGACTTACAGCCAACATTTCTGTTGCTAAGTGAGACAGTTGTTAAATGAATTTTGCCCTATTTTACGACCTTTCTTGCCAGAGCTGTGAATCATTGCAATGGTTAAATGAATAACACAGTTGTTAAGTGATTTCGCTGAATTTGTTTGTCAGAAAGTTGCAAAAGGTGATCGCTTGACCCCAGGACACTGCAACCATCATAAATATCAGTTGTCAAGTGTCTGAATTCTGATCACATGACCATGGAGATGCTGTAACGGTCTTAAATGTGAAAAATAGTCATAGGTCACTTTTTTAGTGCTATTGTAACTTCAAACAGTCACTAAATGAATTGTTGTAAGTCAAGGACTCTTGTATAAAGTGCATTTGTGAATCAGAATCAAGTCCAATTTTTGCTTCTTTCCAACCCAAGTTGTTTATAACATCCTGCCAATTTCAGAGGGAACTTGAATCTTACACATATTTAAGAAGTATGGAAAATCTTAATAATTAGAAAGAAACAGGCTGTTTGTTTGATCTCTGAGCTTGGCAAATCATGGTCTGGTTTCAGGCTGTTTGATTGGCTGATTGTTGTTGCTGGGCCATAGTCCTTGGTGTTTAAGTACTGTCTGTGCGATGCAAATGGTTTGTTCATTTGGCTGCTTCTGAATCATGGTCTGGTTTCGGCTTGTTTAATTGGCTGGCTGTTGTTGTCGAGACGTGGTCTGGTTTCTTGGGGGGGCTATGATTTTTGCTGTGTGGTGAGGTGTCTGCTTGTTCGTTTTAAATGCTGCCTTCGGGATTGTGGTTGAAGTAGTTCTTTCATTCTCAGTGGTTGGTAGATTGGGTTGATGTCAATGTGTCTGTTTATTGACTTATTGGTGGAGAACCAGGCTTCGAGGAATTCTCTTTCTCTCCCTGGGTTACAACTGTTAACCCAGTTAGATCAAACTTGTGTTCTTCTGAGTCTTCGTGGTTGGACATGAGGGATAGTGGGTTGTGTCTTTTGATAGCCAGGGAGTGTTCTTGCAATCTGGTAGATAGTTTTCTTCTTGTCTGGCCCTCATAGTTCTTTTCACAGTTGCTGCACTGGGTTTGGTATATGACAGTATATGAGGAGTCATATACCAAAAGCCCAAAACCAGACCATGACTCAGAACCATCCGGACAAATAACACCAACACCAATTTACATCATACAAAAAGGTATTTAAAGGTCAGCGCTCTGACAGAGAAGCACAATTCAAAGCACATTGAAGATGTCCCCCCGAATGGAGACAAAATGTTTGCAACCAAATCGCCAAGCTTGGAGATCAAACCAACAGCCCAACTACCAACCCGAGCTACTAATATTCAAATACATCTCCACATTAGAAAGAAATACTGATAATTCTTCCTTGTCTATAAATAAAATCATTAAATGCAGACAATTGCCAAAAGTTATATACTGGTTTGACATCACCTCAACATACTTGTGAGCAAATTAGGACTCACTGTAAAAACATACATACTGCAGATGTATTTTTTATTTTATTATTACACTGATAATAACACACTTTAATAGATATAAATTGAATGTATTGATGGATACAATTGTACTAGACATGCAATACTGTGTAATCCTGTATTTCTTTTGATCCCCCCCTTGTTTTGGAGCAATACTTACCACTATGGATGTCAGATCTTCACTTTCAAAGCGGCTGATAGCCTGATCTAATGATTTGTACATCGCAGCTGAGATACGCTGGGTGATAAGTCTGTTCAAGTCAATTGACCTCCCTAGCAGCTGCAAAAGACACAAGCATAAAACCAAGAAATTGGTGATTAAAAATAGAGCCAAAATCAAGTACAGAGCCAGAACAATAGAGTGCTTAAGGTTTCAGACTGGCACGAGGTATCAAACCCCAGGATGCTGAACAAGACCAATGGGACACAAACTATCAGCTTCCAATACGGCATCTTTAATGTTCACCTGGGGCAACAAAAATCTTGAAATATCGGAGGAATTCCCCCCTTTCATTTATAGTGAGTTAATTATGGCAATGTCTCTTTGAATACTTTGGAAGATTTTCCCCCAGATTTCTTCTCACCTGGGCTACATTACTTTTTATAACATAAACTGGCAACGGAGTTAGCCATTATCTATCTCCTTCCTTACATTGAGAGTACTTTTTATATTTTCCCAAAATATCTCTTATGTAGAACGCCTTCTGCCATACAGAGATTCACAGGTGAAGCAATTACACATGTACCTTTTGCTGTGACACTGGAAAACATAAATACTTGCAAACAAGTATTCTAAGCCATGGAAGAGTATGCCATGCATACTAATTCCCCCAGACTTTCCCATGGGAAATTAATGTGTGAATTTGCCCTAAAGAGCAGTCCATAAAAAACACCAAAGAATTTGCTAAAAGTAAATTGTACCTGGACATGTCTTTGTTTGAGCAATGTTTCATAGCGATTGGATGGTGGGTAAGGGATAATCACCCCATAATTTTTACATTCAGCCCGGAAGCGCTTATCCAGTAAAACACTGCAAATGGAAAATACTCATAAGAATCTTTACTTGATTGCCTCTTCACTACCGCAATTCACTTATTCTCAAGATGTCAGTGAAAAGAACAGCTATATAATAAGATCTAGTGCTTGCATTAACGGATAATGAAGAAACAAATAAGACAGAAGAAGGCTGAAGGTAGAAACTGACATGGAAGCAATTCTTGCTTTCTCTCCACAAATTTTAAATGCTTTTCTGAGTAGGGTTACAAGAACCTATGTCTTATTATTTCCTATATATTGTTCATTCAGTGTTAGTATGAAAAGATGGTTAGTCAGGAATATTATTACTATAATCATCATCATAATATAAATCTGAAAACTTGATTTTTTTGGTCGTGGAAAGAATGTTTCCAATATCTAAGATTTCTTGTTAAGCTACATTGGAAAGGTATTGGCTCATTAGCAGAAATCAAAACCAATAATTTATCAGGACAATGTGAATTGCCAAATTAATTATGTGAATCATACGTGGAAAGATGAAATAGTCTAGAAGCAGCTACCATTTTGATAGTAAAGGAGACTGGTTTCCTGGATGTAAAACAGATTTTAGTGATATTAGTCAACCAGTTGATTTTTAATTGCTGAAGAAGCATTGATCATTCAGTAAGAAGCAATACTATGCAAAGGTTTGCCATGAATTAATGCTATCATGTTTGAGTATGAACAATCAGTTTCCAGATATGTCTACTTCTTGTAATGTCATCACACATCCTTCAGCTCAGGAACTAATTTATGCATACAGAAGAACATGAATAGCTGATGCAATGCTCCCCAAACCAACAGAGGCTTCATACCTGCCAGCCATTGCTTTATAGTAAGCAAAGATTTGATCTGCCAGTTTATACACAAATTGATCAAAACACAAGTTCACCTGATAGAAAAAGAATCAGAAATGGGATTTAGAATAACAGGCATAAAAGTTGAAGTGAGGCAATAAGTAAAACAAATCAAATGTTTGATATTAATAATTAACGAAAATAATGCGGCGAGAACTCACTTCTGCTTCAATTTCATCATAGAGAAACTGCTTTTTAAACTTGGTCAAAGCGTAATACGCGCTGTCGTTGTAGAGGTCCAGTGGGTAGAGCACATACCTGCAATGAATGAAATAGGCTCATTATCTGTCAGCAGAGACATCTTTGGGCAAACATTTGTCTCAACTATTGTAGAAATTCTAAAATGCAATTTAATTTAAAAACCAGTGGTTTGGGGTTAGCATGCATAAAATTTGATACAATATTAAAGCAAGTTTTCTTAATTATATGCATCAAGAATCAATATTTGCTTACAATCCCTCTGGCTGTATAAAAAAATTTCTTCATGCATAAAATGGTATTTTGTAAGCCTGCCACAATGGAATCCAGCCAATCGCAACTGCCTATGAATTCATTCATTTGCAACATTTCTATTAGCATCTATCAGCCAAGTGCCCATCTACTAGACTGCTCATAAATTATTTCCTATCATCAATTTTTCCTTACATCCTTAAAAATCGCTTTATACAAGTCACTTCATAATTCCTTTATGCTATGTGAAACAGCTTGTCATTTAAGAACACTTCAGCCCGTTCACTCCTCTTGGTGAGGGTACCACTAGACCACATGCAATAAATAAAAGTAAATTATCCTTCAAAAGAGATTGGCAGATGCAACAGAATCTGATCAGGGAGACTGATTACTGTTCCCTGTCACGAGCAGAAAGCTGAATTTGAATTAAATCAAATTCCTTCAAGTATTATCACAAAGACACCCACAGATACATTGCATATATCATCCTGGAGTTCTTACTCCATCATGGAGGGTTCTTTGGTATCCAGGATGTGATCAGTTAGAATCCATGGCATTGACATCTCAATAGGGAACTGAATTCGGCGACCCATGGTCAACTCCAGAAAAAATTCTCGGAACCAAAGTTGGGATAAATCACAGCACTGTTGGAGGGCTTCTGAAAACATAAAACATTTTCCCAATGTAAAAGTGTTAAGTGAAAGCATATAATATTCCCCAAAATAAACTGCAAGACAGGTTTAACGGATTAAGCATAAAAAAATACATTGCAGAGTGTGTGAATACAACAACTCCATGTTACAAATATTACATGGAGATAATGTAACAGCATATTTGAACCGATAAAATTGACTATATGAATATATAAAATTAGACTGTTTTCTTACAAGAATAAAATCATGATTTATTTAAAAAAACTAAACAATTTGACTAACAATTTATTTCAAGCTCACACCCAGTTCTAATAATTCTTTAATATAATCACAATGAACTGAAAATTCATTGCTCCAGAGCTGGCTATTCTTGACAAACTAACTCTTGACAAGCTAATTCTGTCTAGGTTATTTATTTCAGGCTTGATGTTGCTACTTACCACTTATATTGAGAAGATGTGTAAAGAAGAAGGACTGTTTATGGAATTCTTCAATGGCCAGAACTATTGGTCCATCCAGGCTGCTCCTAAGAGTCTTTTTTGAACCACTCTTGTCTGCAATGAGGGATTCTAGCATGGTCCTCACCATATAAAGCTGAAATGATATGCTGATGGTTGTTATTACAGTAATCCCTTTGTAAGTAATAATACTCATCATGTACAAATAATAGTGCAGGTAATCTTCAACTTAATACCAGTTGTTTAACAACGATTTGGAGTTACAATGCTGGGGGAGATCATTCGTGGCTTCGGGGTGGATTTCCATCAGTACGCTGATGACACTCAGCTGTACATCTCCACCCCAGGCCACCCCAACGATGCCCTTGACGTGATGGCCCGTTGCCTGGAGGCCGTACGGGTCTGGATGGGGAGGAACAGACTCAGGCTCAACCCTTCCAAGACCGAGTGGCTGTGGTTGCCGGC